AGCCCTCTGCGCCTGCGGACGCGCTTGATTTTATTTAATGAACGACTATAATTACACATCTTATACATAGTCTATCGCACTGTTAAAACGAACGAAGGCGCCATAGCGCTCACAGGATAGCCCAGAGCGCCAAATCTCTGCCGGTGCGACGGGGGACGCACGAGACTACGATGGGTGAACGACTCTATTAGCTCATCTTCTGCATAGTCTTTCGCACTTTTTAAAAAACATACCATTTATAGAGAAAAATCGCACCGTTCCGGGGCGCCGCCCTTACAAAATAAAAAAAAAACATTTATTTTTATATACTGTATAAGAGAAAAATAGAATCGATAAGATGGGCGTTATAGTTATTAACTAACTTGTATCAGGCGCGTTCGTCGGCGCCCCGGCAGAGTGCAATTGGACTATCCCGTGAACGATTGGGCGCCCAGGGTTATCCTGTAAGCACTATGGTGCCTACCTAAGTTTTTAAGGAGCCAGGGGCCGTACGCGGCCGGTAGTATAATCGGGGGCTCGTGAGAGCACCCCTCTATGTCCCTGACACATGGGCGTTCACCGAAGAGTGTTCTACCTCACTATTATTACTATTACGGTGAGTGATGAACGTACACGCAAGGCCTCCATGCAGTAGTGTAAGTAAACCCGTGTCCCGAAAAATATGATCCAAGAAATATAGCACAGTCGTTGTTTACATTTAAATAACTCAGTTGTAGAAAACAAGGTCACAGGTCTAAGAACATAGGATTGGTAACGCAATGATGAAAACCTCTTAAAATATTACGTCATACTTTATTCTGACACCGCGGCAACGCGCGGACGGGCACGCTAGTACTGAATACAATATTAGGCAAACTGGTTATCGGAAATCTCTGAGTGTAGTAAAAAGAAAAAGGACTAGATGTTCAACCAAATTGAGATACACAGTAAAGAACTTGGCCGACAATGAAATAATCATTCACAAACTATTTTCCCTTCTTAACATTCTCTAGTCACTGGGGAATGTTCGAACTTCACATTTCCTGATGGTGATAACGTACACTCAAGGTTTTCATTCATCACCATTGGGGCGTCAGGGCGGTGGAGTGGATGAAGCTGTTTGTCAGTAACAAAAATCCATGAAATTTAGTGCCAACATTGTTTTCTAGAACCGAGTTATTTAATTGTAATCAAAGTCACACGACTAAAAATACTGTTTGGTAACGCATTTAATATTACGTCAGTTTGATATCGCGGCAACCCAAGACGGGTACTCTGGTCTTTATAGTAAAATTTAAACTTGGGATATGTCATAGAAATTGGGTAATGGCAGGTATGCTACCTGAATCTAGCTGTCTTTATTATAGGGAAGTATTTTTGTACTTAACAATCAAAATGCTATTTTGAAACACTCAAATATGGATTAGAGCTCACTCATTTATTAGCTTTTTTAAAATTAATTAATTGTTTTGAAATTCTTTATAAATACAGCATCCACTGAAAAAGTTTCTAGGGGCATGCAATGAAGCTGAAAGGGTTATGTCGCGCTGTCTAAAAAGAGAGGTAAAATATTGTTTTAATTGTGTTTTCCTAATCATTTATCGAAAAATGTCGCTCTTATGTATACCCCATTGCAAGCAGATATTTTATCCAAAAAAAAGCTACAACGATCGAAAAATTAGAAGTGTACAAAATTAGGTATTTGACGTTTCCGAATATCGGCGGATTTCCGAATATTTTCTCTGATATTTTTCATCTATATATTTTCACCGAAGAAAAAAAAATTCGAATAGAAGTATTCTACACTACAATGTCACCAACCCTAACCACGTGATGGGTTAAGTGAAACGACTTCCTAGGAATACCTTAAACAATATTTTATTGTAATTTGACTTAGTTGGTAAGTAATATGTTAAAATGGGGGTGTTCGGCTAAGATGCTTTTTCTGTTTCAACGATGACTCTATAGTATTAAATAGGGGAAGGGGCGTAAAATTGATAGTTCACCCCGCCGCCGGAATGGGTGGCTACATCCGTGGAGGTCGGGAGTGTGTGTGACGGGCGGTAGATTAGCGGATTTTCAATGGTACTCAATTTGATGAATTATATATTGACATTCCATGTCTCCATGAAACTTTATCTTTGAGAACTGATCTTGACTATTGAAGACACACATTTTTTTTTAATCCTGTAAGTAGACAAGCTTTACAGCTGGTAAAAATTTTAAATTATAATTTTGAAGCCTGTCAGTGTATAAAATTCATAAAAATATTTTTTACGTTTCAGCGAGACATGAAACTACAAGCTAATGTTAGAAATAAAAAAAAAGAATCTGTCATATCTGCATAATTAAATTTTGGAATTGATCTTTTTTGTTGTTGTTGTTTTTTATTCGATTGTCTAGTGTCCGTTATTCTTTGTATATATCACAAATATCAGTATATTTAATTTTTGCTATTAAAAAAAAAGATGATGAGGTCGGCCAGTTTGCTCTAAAATAACTTTTAAGAATTTACTATTTACATTGCCTGAAATAATTTTAGTTGACCATGTTAATTGTTATGGCTTTTATCTTTTGCCCCGAAAAAAAAATCATATTCCAAAGAGGGTTCACGTGTGCAATGCATCTTTCAGGATGAAATCCCCAGTTAAAATACAAATTGCACTGAGGTAAAAGAAAACAAGGTAATTAAAAAGTCTTGTGACAATTTAAGCGCAATTTCCTTATGTTATCTAAAAATAGCTCTGTCGTGGCGTAAATCAAGAGCAGGGTTAGTAAAACCATTGGTTAGTTATTAAAACGTTTTTTATTTTTAAAAAATTCAGTATTTTACATGTTTTATTTACAATAGAGTTACATGACTAAAAACCATTGCACGCCTAGCTACTGAACGTGATGACGCAGCCATTGAACGTGATGGCGCAGCAATTGAACGTGATGACGCGTGTGGTGTGGTTGGAAAAAATGCCTACTAATTCGGTCCAAATTTTAATTAATTCAAAAAAATGTTTGTGACCGAACGAAAGGATATTTTTGAAAACTTTCTTCGGCAATATTGTTCTAAATTATGGCAGGAATCGATTGGTACATGTTTCAAGTCGCTAAGTGGTCTGGTTGCCGAGATATGGGCCAAAAACTGCTTTTTTCCCGAGGTTTTTTTTGGCTTTTCCGGGAAATCCATGAAAGAAACCCGGAATTTTTATGGCCTATGTTCATCCTCGTAACTTGCTTAACATAATTGCTTTTGGAACTAGTCATCGATATTGCTTCGTTGAGGAGGAGATACGACTTAAAGCTGCGGACACACATCCATCCATCCATTCATACATCCAGAAATGACGGGTTAATAAACGCAATTCTCCAGAATGGAAATTGCGCTAAAAAAAACACATAGCCAGTGTAGTGTACTTGTAGATAGTTGGAATTGTAACTAGAAATCTCGTAAAATCATGAAATGCTTTGATAGTGACCCCTGAACCTTTCCAAAATTGGGCGATGGAGGGTAATTGCATTGTAGCAAAAAATTCCTCTCCACTCAAGTAGTTAATGGTGTTTTTGTTTTAATTTTTGAAGTCTATTTCGGCATTAGTTAACTTTTTAATTCTGAAAAGGTACATCAGAAAACTACATGCTTCTCCAGTTACAAGTACCTTAAAATGACAGTAAGCTATGGAAATGGTTACCTGCCATTGGGTGGGGGCATTGGCGTCGCTTGGTCGCGTTCACCCACCCACCCACCCCCAAAAGAAAAAAGTATATATATATATGTGTGTGTGTGTGTCGGCCTACACAGGCCTATAATACGCTGCCATTTTGCAATAATTGTTAATTTGTACTTAAAAGACTATTTGAATTTAATTAATCACTAATGGATCTGACAAAAAAACATTTTTCTTCATTACTTTTTTGCAATTTTTCGCCTGGGTGTTACACGCTCCGCCCTCGCTACGTCTCTGGGTGGGGGCGAGTAGGGACAATTCTACTGTGGGTTGAGGGCATGGTAATAGCTGGTGGGTAATGTCTTAGCCAGGGGTCGGCAACCTGCGGCTCTTTTGATGTCAAGATGCGGCTCTGGAGTTCCATACACACGTTATTTCTTTTTCAAAACTCATTTAAAAATATTATACTGTAAAGTAAAAACGGGATAAAAACACTCATCAGAGAACAATGAGAGTAGGTGAGGTAGAAAGTATACGGACAGCTTATAGCCGCTTGGGCACCAGACCCAGCCTCACCGCCGTGCTGTAGCCAACCCAGTGACGACTGTTCCATGCTTGCCACTGTCGACTTTTTCAAATATCGTTCAATAGGGAATGTTATTTTATTCAGAATGCATTTCTCTATCGGTCAGTATGTATTAGTTAGACCCGAGTGACTTAGTTTTTTAGTTATTAACTTCCTACGGTTGAGCCGGGTACTGGACGGTGGGGTACGAGTAGGGTGTGAAACGAAGGACAGAAGTGACCGATACGGTAATCAAACCAACATCCAAGCCAGTTAGTCGGCGTTTGCCGTATTGAGGCCTGCCTGGCTAATGGGAAACACCCCCTGAGCCGGTGATGTCCGTAAAGAAAGACAAAAAAAATGTATTCGATTCTAAAATGGATTGTGAAAGTTATATTATTTGATTACTAATTTTGTCACAACAGAGCTAGCTAAAATACTTTAATATGTTTTGTGCAAAACATTTGTGTGTTTTAAACGAATAAATATTTTGTATATATAAAGCTATATATTTCAAATAAAAAATAACATTTATTTACCTAATCCTAATTAAATGCCATAATATTATTGAAATAAAAATGTTAGTGGCTCTTTAGAAACTGTAAATTTTTTAAAAATGTAACTTTTGGATCTTCCGTCTCAAAAGGTTGCCGACCAGTGGCGTGCAGAGCTATTTCGATGCCCGGGGCCAACCCAAGGGAAGATGCCCCCACACCTTATATATATATATATATATATATATATATATATATATATATATATATATATATATATATATATATCATACGGTGTTTAAAGTGTTAATAGCAGTACAATAAAAGATACATTGCAACAACATGAATTATGTTATTAAACAGAATACAAATAGAAAAGATTTTTTCTAAAAATTGACCTAACTAAACTCTTGAAAGCACTGTATGCGGATGAATCCAAAGGAATGACTTACTCAACAAATGTAATAATGGGTGGAATTTCGGAGAGGGGAGACAGTTTGGGGACATGCCAGAAGGGGGGGGGTGGAGTGGCTGTATGTTATCCCCTACAAAAGAGTTTCCAGTTTTATATTGCCAGTGTTTCCTCCAGACTTTTTTCTCCAGGGGGGGGGGGTGTTACGTCCCTTACATGTCCCCTGCTTGTGTGTGTTGTGTGCTGGAACGACAGGTACCCTCCCTTTGGTGTATAGTTGTATCCCTTGGTTGAGTGTGTTTACATGGAGCGAGAGGTGTTCACGTGAGGTGTGTCAGGTGACGGGTGTCAGAGCGTGTGCCAGTGTGTGAATCAGTTAGTTGTGGTGTGGCTGTGGACGTGGAACGTGGAACGTGGTGTTGAGTATTGTATCTATGTTGTAGACCCCTTTTTGATCCTTTTATTATTTTAGTACTGTATATATTATTAAATATCTTATTATTATTGTTATTATAGAGTGTTAGTGTTATTGTTGTATACGTCGTATTTGTCTGTTGTTATTTATATACCCCTAGATTCTAGAACCCAACATTTGGGGGCTCGTCCGTTTAGCATGGCGACTACCAGGAGTGCCAGAAGACAGTTAATAAGTGACTTGAAGGAGGAGGGAAAGCTAATCGGGCTGACCGATGACAGTTTGGCGGAGTGGGTAAAGGAAGAGTTGAGGAGGGTAGAAGATGCGAAGGTCGAGGTTGTAGCAAAGGTATGTAACCCTGTACCCCGCTTGAGGGACGTGGCGGCGATGACGGTAGACGAGGACCTGGGTGCGTACGTGAGGCATTTTGAGAGTCAAGCAAAGAGACAAGGCATTGACCCCAAGGACTGGTCGCTCCTTCTGACGGACAAGATGAGTGGACAACTGAAGACTTTCCTCGTTGAGACGGGACTGAACTTGCATCATGACTTCGAGTCAGTAAAGGTAAAGCTATTCACGCACGCAGGTTTCAACGAGGAAAAGTATAGGGTCAGATTCCACCAGCTAGTACCAACACACGACGACATGAGAAGCTTCGCAGTCAACACAGAAGCCGCTTTGAGAGCGTGGGTCCAGCAGTCGGGAACAAAGGAAACGTTTGAGGACTTGGTGAACCTCCTGATTGTTGATCGCATAAAATCGGTGGTCACATGTGATCTGTTGGAGAGGCTGAATGGTGCTGCTAAGGTAAGTGTGGAAGATAATCTTAAAGTTATTGACAACTATAAGAGCACTCAAAACGCTAGAGTGACGAGGCCAGTAAATCAAACCCCTCAGTACGTCGCTGCTAGTTCGACAGCAGAGAGGATACCTTTGCAAAACACGACACCGCGATCTCCAGGACACCACACTTGCCCTGGTGTACAGCCTATGCATGGTGTTAGGAAGGTCAGCCGGAGCAGTAAATGTTTCACATGTGGACGTTATGGACACTATGCCAGGGATTGTCATAGCAATATTAATAGCGGCTTTACTTGGAGAAATAGGTCAGATAGGGGGTCGGCGTGGTCGAGTCGGTAAAGCTCATGGTTGCTAAACCGAAAAGTCTCGAGTTCGAACCCTCGGGCAGATGAGGCTCGTTAGCTGGGGACAGCCACTCTTCTAGGAGAGACAACTCCAAAATTAAACAACTGCTGCCTTGTAGTTTGTTCTTGGTTGGACAAAGGCTATGGAAGCAAATCCAAAAAGAAAAGCAGGCTGAAATCGGAGTCAATGGCCTCAATGGCGCATAACCAGTTGACACGTAACGCTTAATTGTGTTGGAGGCGTGGTCGAGTCGGCAAAAAGCTCATGGTTGATAAATTCGAACAAAGTCTCGAGTTCAAACCTACTGGCAGATAAATCTCGATCCCCTTCAACACTAATAATTAAGAACGAAGAAGAAGAAGAAGAAGGTCAGATAAAAGAGCTGTTGTGGAGTATGGAAACAACAAAAGACCTTATCGGTGCTACAAATGCAATGAACAAGGTCATATTGCCAAAGAGTGCAGTATGGATATAGATACTGGCGCCTGTTATAGCTGTAGAAAGCCAGGCCACATGCAACGAAACTGTCCCAACGGGACCAGTGGAGCGAGCAACTGGCGTACTGAAAATGTACATCGACGGTCAGATGATCTCAAGTGTTATTGCTGCGGTGGTGTTGGTCACATATCACGGGTGTGTCCCACAGCTCAGCGTGATATGTTAGGAAATTTTTCCCGGCTTAAAGACTCGCATATGAGAGCGAGGTAAAGCACGAAATTTGGAGGCGTATCCTTACAAAGGTAGTGTCCTTGGTAAGTTTTTTTTGTTAAGATAATTTATTCAATCAATGTTAATTTTTCTTTGTTTTTTTTTTTTTTTTTGCAGAAGCTGTGTATTATGATTACGGGCTGGAGATGATTAATGTAGTTAAAACGGCTATCGAGAAAGGAACTAAGTTTGATCGCCTTTAAGAAAAGATTACCATCTATGGCGACGTACGCATCTACCGATGGGCCCTTGCTCTACATGAATTAGCCTGTACTGGGAAACATATCAAGGGAACTGAGAACTTTGTAGCAGACATTCTATCACGAGTGTTTTACGACAACTAGTTTATATGATATTGAGAAATGTATTATTGTTGGAGTACAGTATGATTATATTAAGGAATTTACTATTGAGGCATTATGATATGATTATATTGAGAAATGTTTGAGAAAGGTATTACTGATGCAGTATAGAATGATTATGCAAATCAAATTTTTTTATTGTGGCTTCTCACATGTATCTTCATAGGTTGAGATAGTCAGACCACGAGCTTGGTGCCCGGCCGGAGAAAACCATAGTCCACACTCAGGACCGAAATGTTAAAGCTGGATGCGAGCCACACTCTGGACCGAACTGTCCAGGCTGGATGCGAGCCACACTCTGGACCGAACTGTCCAGGCTGGATACAAGCCAAACGCTGTCCCCACCGGTCAAAGCGAGGCGTCCTAAGGGCTGAAGAATAAATAGTCGAGCTCGGGCACCAACAGTGGCTAATGGAACAAGAGATGTTTGATCTCTTTAAGGAAAAGAGATCTGAAGGTGGAGGGGAGGGATGTTACGTCCCTTACATGTCCCCTGCTTGTGTGTGTGTGTGTGTGTTGTGTGCTGGAACGACAGGTACCCTCCCTTTGGTGTATAGTTGTATCCCTTGGTTGAGTGTGTTTACATGGAGCGAGAGGTGTTCACGTGAGGTGTGTCAGGTGACGGGTGTCAGAGCGTGTGCCAGTGTGTGAATCAGTTAGTTGTGGTGTGGCTGTGGACGTGGAACGTGGAACGTGGTGTTGAGTATTGTATCTATGTTGTAGACCCCTTTTTGATCCTTTTATTATTTTAGTACTGTATATATTATTAAATATCTTATTATTATTGTTATTATAGAGTGTTAGTGTTATTGTAGTATACGTCGTATTTGTCTGTTGTTATTTATATACCCCTAGATTCTAGAACCCAACAGGGGGGAGTGGGCGGACACTGGTAAAAATATGTTTTCTATATAAATTCCATGTTCTGAGGGGCGGTAGACTTTCACCATTGTTGATTGCTACAACTGAGGCCACGGTTGATGTGAATGAGTTATCATCAACGTTCCTACTACGAACCGTATCTGTCTGGTAGAAGTGCCTGCTATTTCGCTCGGCCGTTTTGATCTAGACAGAGGAAGTGGGTTAAATAAAAGCTTGTAAAAACGTTTAAATCACAAGGTTTTATGTAATAATGCACTAAAAAGTAGAAAAAGGCGTGGGTCACTTTAGTGTCTATTGGACACCTTTACTAATATTTAGGAAGAGACCCACGCTTTTCTTTATAGTAATTTAAATAGTAGGGTAAAAATTAATTTTCTACATTTCAGTGCATTATTACATAAAACTTGTTATTAAAACGTTTTTTTATTAAAAAATTTTTCAGTGCTTTAATTTTTACTTTCTCGTATATACGTAGTATAGAGAAAGTATTGTAATCGTGCAAAAAAAAAAAATCGAGATTTTTACAAATCTCGACGTTTTACACCTCACTGATACGGAAAAACATAATTTTGCAATCTTGTCCGTATGTGTGTGTGTGTCTGTGTGTCCGTGTGTAAACACGATAACTTGAGTACCGTTACAGCTAGGCTGGTGAAATTTCATATATAAGTATTTTATCAAAATCGTAGAACCGTATCAACTTTTGAGCGAATTCCGATAACCGGAAGTTGTACTTTTTCTACTTTGAATTTTTCAAAAGCCTATAACTTGAGTACTATTTCAGATAGATAAATGAAATTTGATATGTAAGTAAAAGAGCTAATTCTCTACCTTCTATCAAATTTTGAGTAATTTCCGTTGACCGGAAGTACTTATTTACGCTATTTCCGATTTCTCAAAAAACGCATGTAAATTTATAAAGTACTAATAATATTGCGCACTATTATGCGCTTTTTTATTTCGCGTTCACTTGGTGTGCATTTCTTTTTTCTACGAGATTATATTCTATTTTAAGAAATGTGAGTATTTAAAATGGATTAAAAATCATGTCTAGAAGTCTATATCCCGAGTTGCCATCCCCTGTAGTGTTATATAAGAATATTCGAGAAAGTTTAGGGGAGATCACTCCGGTTTATTTAACATTTACAATAGAGTTGCATGACTAAAAACCATTGCGCACCTAATGAACGTGAAAACGCGTGTCTAATAGCGCGGAATAGTTTGATGAGACAGCCTAATAATTTGGACAAAATTTTAATTAATTCATACAAATTTAATTAGGCATCCAATTAAGTCAAATTTAATGTCATGTTGCATGGTCTTTATGTCTTTACCCATGTATTAACGATGAACCGAATCTATCAGTTAGAAGTGCCCGAATTTTTGATAGGGCGTTTCGATCTAGACTGACGAATGACGATAGAAGAAGCAAGATAAATAAAAGCTTGTTAAAAAAAAATCATTAAAAAAACGTTTTAATAACAATCTTTTATATACTAATGTACTAAAAAGAAGAAATTAAATTATACACTACTATTTAAATAACTATAAAGAAAAGCGGTTACCAACTACGAACCGTATCTGTCAGTTAGAAGTGCCTGCAATTTTGCTCGGGCGTTTCGATCTAGACAGACTGACGACAAATTAACGAGGAAGTGAGTTAAATAAAAGCTTGTAATAAAATCGTTTTTAATAACAAGCTTTTATGTAATAATGCGGTTAAAAGTAGAAAATAAATTCTTTTCTTTAAATATATATATATAATTCTCTTCTTGGAGACGTTAGAAAATAAGCTGTAAGCGCGCCTTGCAGTCCCCTCTCTTCCTCTCTAGGAAGTCTGGTGAGCTGTGCTCACGCTAAATGTTTACAATCGTAGAGCCGGGTTTAGTGACGGCTATTAGGGGCAGATAATTTAGTTTGAAATGATTTTAAACTTAGGGGAGGTAACTAAGAGGAGGCTGCTTTCATGGGGGAGGGGGTAGGGTAAGGATTGGGGGAAAGGAGGGGGGGGGGGGGTTATCGTCCTTAACGACTTACTGATAGTGTTTTAAAGCAAATATTTTCAGTGACAGCAGTGGTACTGTCGAATTCAGAAATTATGAATTACTGAAAAGTAGAAAAGAAAACAACTAAATAGCGGTTAGCGGCGTATAATACGCCGCGGGTCGGCTCGTATAAAATAATATCTTTAGATCTACTTGTTTATTTTACTTTGATTAGGCCTACTCTTTTTATTATTAATCTAAGCCTATACAGCAGAAGCATCATATAAAGTTGCCTTAAAAAAGCCAATTTAAAAAAAAAAACTCTCACACAATAGGAGAAAATTTCATAAAACCCTCAATGTTGAAGATGGTGAAATTCATTTTTGGGGATTTCTGTGCAGTAAAGATGCAACAAATATTTCTGTCTAATATTTCTACTCAGCGGCTTATAGCAGACATGTCTGTAGATGTGAAAGGATACATTTTAAATGAAATCAAGCTTTAATCATTGTTTGCTTTTCGAGTTGATGAATCAAGAGCCGTGAATTCGAGTTCGCAGTTTCTGGTCTTTGTGAAATATATTCATTCAGATGATAGGAAAGAAGAGAAAGAAGAGTTTCTATTTTGTGAAGATATCATGGAGAAAATAAATACGTTTTTTAAAACTGGATGATCAAAATGGGAAAAGGGCTGTGGGGTTTGTACGGATGGTGCGCCATCTTTTCATGACTATCAAAGCTGCAAAATTGGCGAAGAAAAATAAATCTTGGAAATATTGCCGTGTTTGGTGATTATGATTGTGAGGTAAATACAAATTTGAAAGCGAAGATTTCTGGGCATCTTGAATCTCTTGGCATCGAACTGCGGCGTTATCCCTGAGCTGAAAGAAGAAGAATCTGCATTGACACGTTATCCATCCTCTGCTTCCCTTGATGTTGCGAGCATTCCTAATGAGTTACAAGATGGATTCTTGAATGTGCGGAATGATTCCGCGTCAGATGATAAACTGCTCACACAATTTTGGTGTAGTATGCACCATTCATACCCAAACGTGAAATTGATTGCCTTTTGAGTTTTAGTTCCTTTTGTGTATACATATCTTTGCTAGAATAGATTTTCAACACTTCTCCAATTAAAAACAAAACAAATAAATAAATTAAATGTTAAGAATGACATAAGGTTGGCGTTAACAAAACCTCAACCGCGAATGTCGAGGCTATTTTCTTTCTTCTTCTTCTTCGTTCTTAATTATTAGTGTTGAAGGGGATCGAGATTTATCTGCCAGTAGGTTTGAACTCGAAACTTTGTTCGAATTTATCAACCGTGAGCTTTTTGCCGACTCGACCACGCCTCCAACACAATTAAGCGTTACGTGTCAACTGGTTATGCGCCATTGAGGCCATTGACTCCGATTTCAGCCTGCTTTTCTTTTTGGATTTGCTTCCATAGCCTTTGCCCAACCAAGAACAAACTACAAGGCAGCAGTTGTTTAATTTTGGAGTTGTCTCTCCTAGAAGAGTGGCTGTCCCCAGCTAACGAGCCTCCTCTGCCCGAGGGTTCGAACTCGAGACTTTTCGGTTTAGCAACCATGAGCTTTACCGACTCGACCACGCCGACCCCTGAGGCTATTTAATAGCATGCATTTTTACTCATCGTATTAAAACAGTTATCAATAATAATTCACATTGAAAGTCTACTAGAAAGTCAAATTTTAGCACTGATTAATTTCCTTACTAATTTCCACTTTTTAACTCTATGGGGTCGCAGGTCACTTAATTTTTATGAAAGGGGGGTCGACATTAGAAAAAAATTGGGAACCACTGATATAGAGAATATTATTTAAGACTATATTTTTAAAATCTAATGAACATAATGATAAGGTATGGTTAGATCACTGTATTGCACACCTCTTCAGTGGTAAGTGCAAAAACAATATTTACAGAGTTTTACCAGTTTCACAAGCTATGATTATGATTCAGGCGGCATGGTACTTTGGTACCTCTTTACGCTTTTTCCCAAATGTACTTAATAGATCAGTTCGGGGTGGGTTGGGAGAGGGGGGGGGGGTGTTCAACTTCATTCACTTTAGGTCAATTATCCTACCCAGCGTATACCTAGGTGTGACATTAATGTTGTGTCCCGTTTTAGGTGGTGAAGTAGGGGGGGGGGGGGGCTGGGGGGTTGGGGGAAACCAAATCAGAGTGAACATAGCCTCAGTTTTTAGATGACGGTTTCTATGCATTTATACATATATACTGATTCAGAAATAGATTTAAGTAAGTAACAGTGGGGTCCATGGGGGGGGGGGTGTATCCCCCCTGCCTACGCCACTGGACGGTATACATTTCAAGCCGTCCCACTTTAACTCGTGACAAGACACTGCGCGACCTTAATATCATTCTGTCTTGTTAGTTTGTTTTTTAGGGGGAAAAGTATACCCGCATGCTACAACGTCATTCAAGGTCAATACCTCGGTGAATTATTTTTCGCTCGGTTTCAGTCAGTATATAGGCCCTCCCCCTCTCTTCTTCACCGCATTTTTTTAAAAATTACTAACGAGGTCGGTGTCAAAGTGTAACGTTTGATTCAAGAATAGGAGCGGGTGGTATTGAAACAATTAAGCTGTTTCTTTAATAGTAAAAATAAATTATAGGCCTACAGGAAATTTGTAATCTCATTACTTAATTATTTAGTTTATTTACCTAACCGCTAAAGAAAATTGAGGGAGATATTTTATTTTTATTTTTTTTAGTTAAAATTTATTAAGGCACGACACACAACACTATGCGTGTGTGGTATGTGGCCTGACCTATTAAATATATTATTGTTTTGAGTTTATATTTAACTCAATGGAGTAACCCGCCGGGTGGTTGAGGCTACATCGGGGGTTCGTTCTGCTACGAAATTTTAAAAAAAATTACTTTGCAACAATACAATATGTTAATGGCGGCAGACGGCCTCGGTGTTCTACACCAGGGGTCTCCAAACTACGGCCAGCGGGCCGGATGCGGCCCGCGAGGTCCTCTCATCCGGCCCTTGGAGATCTTTTTGTCCGCGGAAAAAAAATGTTTGTTGAAGGTGGCTGAGCAAAATTCATAACAAATTGAAAATGTAGCATTGGGCGCAAATAACATCGAAGTAAATGTGACCAGTTGCCCAGCAAATGACCTCTTTAAAGACAAGTTCAAATAAGGGCAAGTATTTGCCCAAGGAAGACTTTCCTAATATTCAAACTTTTGCCTCAAAGTACCTTTCAAATGTTGGATCAACATACAAACTTTATCAAGAATGAAGTATGCCTACGGGAAGAACAATTTGAGAACAAACTTGGACCTCGAGCGTGTTGTCGGTCCCCGACAGTGTTTCTTTCTTCAGACTTTTTTTCTCGGTGGCGCGCACTTGAAATTTGCATATATATATATATATATATATATATATATATATATATATATATATATATATATATATATATATATTCTGTTGGGGGGGGGGGGCTTCGCCACCCCGAGGAGATGCCTGGAAGAAATTCTGGCCCCCGAACGTACATTTGATAGTTAATCCGGCCCTCTGGCTGAAAAGTTTGGAGACCCCTGTTCTACACAAAGAGTTGATCTATCGTCGTCGGTATTTCGGGCGGTCCTAACCCTAACCCTTAAGGTGGTATGCTAAGTCGACACAAAAGATGGTGAAGTTCACAAATCCAGTGTTTCTTCCAGACTTATTTTCTCCGGGGGGCACTAGATATTTTCGGGGGGGGGGGGGGGGCGGACATTAGTAAAAATATGTTTACTATATAAATTCCATCTCGTTCGGGGGGGGGGGCGGTAGGTTTTTCTTCGCCCCCCCCCCCCCCCCCCGAAGAGATGCCTGGAAGAGACTCTGCACAAATCATCCGAATGTTTAGCGACGGAAAAATCGGAAGTTTTAACAATGTAAACGAAATGCAAAGTCTGCATCAAATATCATTGTAAATCGGGTGCGGTAACATTTTCGCAGATATTTCGCATTCTACCACAACAATGCGTAAGTATCTTGTGGTGATAATATGCGAGGCAAAAATGCCACGTGACCGACGGTTCTCGCAGTTTACCGCATTGCCATTTCGCGTCTCGCAATTTCCCAACACCCCCTTCAGGTCACATGTTTGTTTAAACAAGTTAATAAAAAGTCTAGTGATAATTTAAGCGCAATTTCCTTAATTAATTTTTTGTGACCGAACGAAAGGATATTTTTGAAAACTTTCTTCGGCAATATTGTTCTAAATTATGGCAGGAATCGATTGGTAAATGTTTCAAGCCGAGATATGGGCCAAAAACTGCATTTTTCGAGTTTTTATTTTGGCTTTTCCGGGAAATCCAGGAAGGAATTCCGGGAATTTTTTTGGCCCACAATCATCCTCGGAATTTGCTTAACATATTTGCTTTTGGAACTAGTCCTCGATATTGCTTCGTTGAGGAGGAGATACGACTTAAAGCTGCGGACACACATCGGACACACATCCATCCTTGACGTGTTAATAATCGCAATTGTCAGTATGGAAATTGCGCTAAAAATGTTCTGTAACAAGTTTCTCCAATTGCGGACGCTAAAGTATGCATGTTCTGTGAAGATGTTTACAGATAAAATTAACTTTTGGCGGGGTTTGTGTTCTAGAAACTTTTAGTATAGGCTACATGTCGGATGTGGGTTAAGGTTAGGGTTAGTGTAGGGCTTAGGCCTATATTATAACTATATACATTTTAATAATTTTATCAGTCATAGCCTCACCTACTCTGAACACAATAAAGCTAGGTCTAGAAATCTAGATCTAGACTATATGTAAGTGAAAATAGATCTAGATCTATATTTTAAAAAAAAAACTACTTCGTGACCTTCTTATTCATCTAGATCTAGATCTAATTATATTTCACTGCATTGTCTACTCTAACTAGATTCTATGCAAATATAGATCTATCTTTATCCAATATTTAAATGCTACTTTTATTTTATATTATTATGTATTTATTATCTACACGCGATTGAAATTTTATTACTATGACATGGTCGATGTTACTTATTGTCTTATTTCTTTTAGATCTAAATCTAGGTCTAGATATAGATCAAGATAGATCTGTATATTATGTAATAAGTTTGTTACTAACGGCCTAACCCTAATCCAATGGCAATGTAAACAAAAGTTCACAGTGCCTACTAGACCTAGTGTACACGTTAAAAAATAAACCAAACTAAAATTGACATAAATTATTAGATCTACATATGCTTGGTTATTTTGTTCCAACTTTGGACTAAAGTTTGCACGCCATTGGAAACGTGGAAGTAGTTTCGGCTAGATACTCGGTTAACTTTATTTCTGTGCGGAGTTAGCTTCCCCCACTAAATAAGTAAAGTCTGTGGAAATTGGTTCGCCTATCCTAGGCCTAAGCCTCTTGATCTAGAGTTAGGAAATTGTAATCGATTATCCAGGTCGGAAAATAGATCTAAGTGTTCATCAAATGGTAAATTTTATCCAGTTAAAAGTATTTCAGTGTGATAAAATCTAGGCTAGTTTAACAGTAGAAATTTAGAATTGTTAGACCTATGCCTAAATTATTTTCAAAATAGCACGTGATCAACTGACTCTGGCTGGCCTTCGAATTTAGAATAAGATTATTTTGTCGGTCGCCGCGCCACACACAACTCACTCGCTAATCAAAACCGAATCTTCTAACTCTAGATCTAGAATAGATCTCTAGACTTACTAGACTAGAGTTAGGCCTACAATCTATCTAGATCTAGATATCTACAATATCTATCTAGGTCTAGAGTCTAGATAGATGATGATAGTGATAGATCTAGAATTTGATCACAAGTCTAGACTCTAGAATGAATGATTAGTCTAGATCACTAGATCTAGTACTAGATCTAGTACTAGATCTAGAATCTAGATCTAGATCTAAATTCTAATAGATTTCTAGATGCTAACTAGATTTAGAATCTAGATCTAATTTAGATCTATTGAATATTGGGTAAAACCTTAGTCTAGCGTCTTAAATTCGGCCTAATCTGCCCTAAACTAGATCTAGTAATGTGTGGGAGAGGGAATTAATGAATTTTAATTTTAGGCTGTTTGGTTCGTCTGCTTTCGATTTCAATGTTTGTTTATAACTTTATAATCATATTATCCTCGTTTAGGAAGCACTTTCCAAAATGGCTTCAATATCCTGTCCCATGTAGATCTAGATCTAGTACTGAGTTGTTAAAAATGAGAATTTCATAGTTATCGCTTAACTGCAGTGGAAGTGACCCCTATATTTAAATATGTTAATGACGACTTATAAAATGCGCTCGTGACCTAATTATGTTCTTTGTCTTACCCGAGGCACTTGAGTAAAACTCTATCCTAATTAGCGCATTTTGAGCTCAATCATTTAAAAAAGGTAACTTATGCCCCAGCGAAATTAAAATGTCCTACAGACACTGTTCAACCTCTTATTGATCAAAATATAATACATTTAGGCCTACTTACTAACTGGATCGGCTTACTGTGTTTAACTTTGGCCTAACCTAACACTTAGGACGGCATCAAGGACGCTATTATTACATTTTCTAGCCTATAAAATTTTTTTTTTAGAAAACTAGGCGTAATTGAATTATCTTTTGTAAATTGTTGCTAATCCTATGCAGTTTTATTTCGAAAACTATGACTAATTAGGCGGATGATTATAGATACCTGTGTCCGCTAATAGAATTTTCTTTAAAAAGGGGTGTTGGGTTGTTAGTAGTATTGTAATCTCGACTAATTTTTGGGTTAGAAAATAGGGTTAGGCGTATGTTAGGGTTATAGACAGGGTTAGCATTGACATTAGCCAGCCATGTGTGTATTTAATTAACTACCAGTAGGCTAACCCCCTTTTTAAAGGAGATTCAATTACCGGAATAAACATTCTCTCAAAAAAAATTATCTATTTACATTAAACTAGTTAAATAAGAATCACAAGTGATTCAATTAACTAATTATATAGAACTAGACCGAATTAGGCCTATGTAAGCAGGGTTGGTACGCAGTCTGGAAAAAGTCTTGAATTTAGAAAAGTGAATTTCAGACTTAAAAAAAGTCTGGAAAATCGCTAGTTTTTGGGCTGGATTTTTTTAAAGTCTGGAAAAAGTCTGGAATCCAGTTTTAGAAACAAAACTCCTCCACTAAGTCCATATTTACTCAAATTTTTCCCCGCACTTTTGCACAAGTCTACACTGTGTTGTGACGTTTTTCGCTAGTTCGCAGAAAAAACAACATGCTCAGTTACTACGTCATTGGGAGAGGAGGGGAAGGAAGGGGAAGAGATATTTTGTGGCGCGACTGACCGTGTAAATGTGTTACGAGTATTTAAAATTGTCAGTTAATGGAAGAATAATCGCCCTCAGAATTGTTAGGCTCTCAATTTTACCCGCTATTTTTTATTGTTTTGAGTTTGCATGCAGGCAGTCATAACAAAAAATAATGGGAGGTGTGTGAATGGTAGTTTAGTTATAATTTATCTGTCTGTAAGGGGTTATCAATTTATGAAAATTTATGACGTCCAATAAAATTTCAGATTTTAGACCCGTCCCTATCCTCACGTGTTCACTTTCGTTGGATGTAATAATTAATATTATCATTTATAAGATTAATACTGCGTTCACTTTCGTTGGATGTAATAATTAATATTAGCATTTATAAGATTAGTACGTTGCAAGGCCTCCTAGGGTTCATACCTGTTTGCTTCAGTGGTCGCTTACCAAAGAGGTACTATTTTATTTAGCAGTCGTGCATAAATGACGTCACACTCCGGAAAGTCAGGAGGAGCGTTTCAGAAAGTTTGACGACACGCTCGTGCAATAATGTTTAAGGTAGCTACTAATACCGTGCTTTATTTACACGCTAAGATGGTTTTTAAAACACAAGCACAGTTGCCTTAATTTTACTTTCTACACGCAGGATACACGTTTAATGTTTGTTTTGGAATGTAAGTTGAGTGCAACTAGTGGACGTCAGCATGGAACAGAACCCATCGTGTCTTGTGTGTGTGGAAGGGGGGGGGAGGATACTGGTATTTTTTTTTATTGCAGACCCGTTTCTCAGCTATAAGCATAAACAGTGAATGGTGTGGTTAGCCTGCAGAATGTAGTTTTTTTTTTTGCTCCAATTTTTTCTTTACAAGTAGCCTATATTAGGCTACTCAACAAGAGCAGACCTAAATTAATACATTATTATTAGGCCTATTTAAAGTAATTTACTCTCACTATTATGCAATACCATTTTAATAATAGTTTAATTGAAAACATAAGCAATTAGATAATGAACAGATTACATAATTCTAATGTTGGAAACAAAATAGGTGCATCATTGTAATCAATTATTTTACTTATTAAAATTTTTAGGTGGAATGTAGTAGGCAAACCTAGAAAAGTGATTTTCTGTCAATTTGACTAGAGAAAGTTCAATATAAATATAAATGTAGCTCATTTGCCTAAAATAAATGTCAATTTAGTATAAGTAATTATAATGAGAGTACAAATGTTGCATAATTTTATAAATTATTCGCTAACACATTATCTGTATAATGTCTGGAATTTTTCAAAAAAAGTCTGGAATTTCACTTTCAAAAAGGTGTACGAACCCTGTGTAAGAATTTGATTTTATTACTAAATTCTAAAATTTACTCAATTTTCAATTTAAACATGACCACTAGGACTAAATCATAAAATAATAGACATCCATATTTAATCCATTAGGCACTAATTTTGAAGTTTTTAGTTTGTTTTAAACTAAATTACTTAATTTAATATTTATTGGCACTCACTGCCATGCATGACCCACCTCTCCATGACAACACTTGTTATATCACTCTTACATTTGAAGTAAAGTCAAACCACAAATCCAGTTTGACTTTTTATTTGGCTATACAGCAGAGTTCCTCACTAGTGATCACCAAATAGCAGTCATGTGGTTTAAAAAAAAAAAAATTTGGTTGTCATTCAAAAGCCATGTTTTATAAAATAAGTTGTTTGCGGTATTTGATTTTTTTTTCATAGATTGATAAACCTAATAGTTCTACAGACTCCAATTTATTTTGTACTCCCCGGGTGGATATTTAAAAAGTTCTATTATTTTTAATGGCACCAACTTTTAAATTTAGCCTTCATTCTCCAGAGCAAATTTTAAAATGCTTTTCTGGCATATTTAGCCCTGCCACCTATAGCATATTTTGCTTGTGGAAACAGTTTTAAAAGTAATTTTAAGGTATCTGGAACTAAGATGAAAATCGTCGAAAGTCATGCATCCGGTCTATACGCCATATTGTTGTTAGCAACCAGCCACGCCTCCGGGGTAGCGAGCAATACTAGTAAAAGTATTTATATTTTAAAAATGAGCATGTAGGCCTATTGCTAAGTATTGCTGGCTAACCTGGAGGCCAGACCGGTTGCTAACACAAATATGGCGTCATCACCGGACTCATGACTTCCAACAATTTTTTCATCTGGGATGCGCACTGTGACTTGGCTGACTTGCTAAGTGTTAACTGTTTTAAGGTTAACATATTTATTAAACAACATGGTCATTAAAAACCACCACAAAGCAGCATTTTTACTTCTCGAGGAATATCAAGTGGATAGTCTAGTTTCTTACGACTTAATCTTAAGTTATAACTTATATCTAGTAGATCTAAATGATCAAAACACCCAGCCTTTTAAAGTTACTAAGGGCCCAAAACACCAAGTTGACATTAGGTCATTTAGAGTGCAATGATAAGACCTTTTAAAAAGATCAGGGAAGTAATTTTTCAGTTTCAGCTGTGATTTTCCTCCTATAATTATTGTCTTGTTTCAGGTATACACAGATAAAAAGCAGATATACTGTATCATTAAAAAAATTAATGAAAAAGGCTTTTCAATAAATGTGTAAAGTTTTGTTTTACTTATTTTGTTTAGAATAGGATGATGCGTCGCCCACCAAGACCTCCAATGGGTCCTCCAGGAATGGGGCCACCTGGAATGGGCCCAATGCGTCCAAGAGGACCTCCACATTTAGGACCAAGGGGTCCACCAATTCCTGGCATTGGAATGCCACCATTGCCTGGCATGGGTCCACCTCCAGGTCCTGGTGTAATGGTCAGTAGTTGCACTAACTCAAATGATCCAGCTTCCATGGACTCTCGTTTGTTTGTTGGAAATCTAAATACAGTGGTATTAAACAAAGAAGCTATTGAAGGAATATTCAGTCGCTATGGTATGATAATGGGAATATCAATGCACAAGGGCTATGCATTTGTTCAGTTTAGTCATCCAGATGAAGCTAGGCGAGCAGGAGCAAGTGAGGATGGGAAACATTATGCTGGACAAGCAATAGGTAACGTGTATTAAAACCTTTTAGTCACAAAAACTGAGCCTAAATGATCATGTGAATACTTTCAGATTTGTGTTTAAATTTTTTAACCATGTAACCAGATTTTGTTTTCAGTTTTTTTTTTTTTTTAAAAAAAGGCTATTTTAGATAGGATTTAGTGAAAACTTCAATTTTTAACCTTCTCTTTCTCATTTTGTAAATCTCATATTTCATAATTTATGTAATCTTCTGGTTTTAGGGTTAGGGTTATTGCAATGTAGGAGAGATATTGTTTACAACTTCAGTCAAAAGCATAACAATAGTATTTAAACAGAAAAGTTAGCTTGCTAACCTGAAAGTCAGAAATTCTGTACTTTGGCTTGAGGCTGTGGGTTATTTACACCTATTGCCAGAACCTGAACATGCAATGCACTGTTATAAAGTAAGAACCTGGAAGAAATAAAACTGGTCTAGAGGCTGGCGGCATGAGTGTGGGAAAATGCTTGATTCATACATATCCTATTTTATTCTACCTCAGTTTAACATCACTTATGCTGGTCATGCCCATGTACAAGACATAGAATCATTGAAAAAAAAAACAGATCATCTCTCTAGATGGCCAAACAATGTGTTGCTTTAAATACAATATTTTCACAAACATGCCAGAAACAGTTGTACTTTGTTTTTAAAGAAAACCAGCAGATAATCCAGCTATTACTTAAATTGGCAACTTGTAATTAAAAACAATGTACGGTCAACTTTAGACATTGTGTTTTTTCGGTACCCTAATGAGACAAATGTACAGAAAAAAAGTATTGTAAAGACAGATAGCAATTCATTGAATAGAAATGATTCTTTTCATCACTTGGTTATACACCTCAACTGCTATTTTAGGTGTTATTAGTGATAGCAGAAATTTTATTCCTCACAAATTGTAAAATCAAAATTTAATTTAAATTGCATTTTGGGTCAAACTTTATCATTTTAGACTATTTAGTGGGGTTTAATTTATACCATAGATATTTTACTTGTAAGTAGATGTCTATTTTGTAGCATTTTTCTCTAATTAATTTTCTTCCCAAAATTCTTAACTTCACTATCTAAGAGCTAAGACAATAGATTTCATTGCAATAATTAAACTCTACACTGCAATTTACACTGTTTATTTCCAAAAAATTTTTTTTAACAAAGTAGCCAGAAATCTTTAAATAGAGAAATGTTGAATAGGTGTCCATAACTACTAAATAAAATGAGCAGCCTGCAGATTAGGTTAGGTAAAAATGCTGTTACAAATTTTTCAAACTATATATGAATTTCAATTGAAGAAGAAAAAATGTTCCTTCACAATCAGGTGCCACATCTACTTCATTTCAAATCGAGGCAAAAATTAAGATATATATATATATATATATATATATATATATATATATACATATATATATATATATATACATATATATATATATATATATATATACATATATATATATACACATATATATATACACATATATATATATACATATATATATATATATATATACATATATATATACATATACATATATATACATATATATATATACATATATATATATACATATATATATATATACATATACATATATATACATATATATATATACATATATACATATACATATACACTTTTTTAGAAACACATTGACATTGTAAGTTTTCATCAAGGAACTGGAATTTTCTTAAATTTGTTACCATACACTAACGTTACTAATTTTCAGTTACAAGACACATGACAGATTAAATTTCTGTTAAGGGGGTTATCAATAAATGACGTCACACTCAAAGGGGGGAGGGGGGGCCCGTAATTTTGTGCCGGTGTGTGATGAGGGGGGTTCAGGTGGTGTGACGTCACTTCTTGCATTATAAAAAAGCAATGCTAGAAAATGAGTTTTAGCCGTTTTTTCGCGTTTTAGAAAACGGTTTTGACATATTGTAATTGGGATTGAATCAAAGTACTCTATGTTGACAGAGTTCTGACAAGATTTTATAAAAATATCGATGTTTTAAGAAAAATTCGACAGCATTTTTGAGGGGGTGTTGTAGGCTGAGGTGTAAAGTCATTTTAAGGAGCCGGGGTCTGGGTTTTTGTGACGACGTGGGACGGAGGGGGTAAAAAATTGTCAAAAAGCGTGACGTCATTTATGGATGACCCCTTATTCATCAATATTTCCATTTCTGGAATGTAAGCTGGAAACATTTCGTCACATTTGAACAAGTTACAAAAACTCTGTTTTAAGTGAAGTTTTTATGAAACAAAATCGCCTGTAAAAATTTGATGTTTTATGTTGATCAAACCACACTTTTAAAATACATTCTCTCTGCTTCTTTATAACATCAGTATATTATCAAAGCAGAGTATAAATTTTGCACTTTATCTATTAGCACTTGTAACACAATTGACAAAACAATTTTGCTATGTCATTTTTTCCAGTTATATTTTTTTTCACAACAAAATGTAATGTTTTAACAAATATTCATAATGTTTTTTGCTACAAGATATTTTCCTCTCTACCTCTGACAAGATCCATGATGTATGTTAATTTAAAATGACTAATTTATATCTTGGTCTGGAGTATATTTTATTTTGTGATTAGGCTAAAAGTTCAAATATATTTCATATAGGTGATGTCTGGGATCATACACATTTTACACTAAGCTAAAGGGCCAAGGATTGTCTCATCATTTCGTTGCAGTTGTGTTAATATAGGTTAAGTGGTGGTAGAAATCAATGATATTTAATACTGCCTAGTGTTTTTATCTTGCGAAATGATTGGATGAGAAGGTTCACACAACTGGTTAACAGATTAACTACTAAGTAATTCTAGTGGAAAAGTTACCCGTGATTTTGTCTAAAGTTATGAGATCCTTATATTTTAATTTATGTTACTTAATATTTGTTGCACCATTATTTTGGGAGAAATGGATGTTCTAGTGTTAGGGTCATGGGAATCACCATTTTTTTTTTTTTTACATACTTATTACAGTAAAGCTGAACAATTCAAAGATGTGACTTTTCCAATTTTTAGCAAAAATCCAATTATTCTGTTTCAGCTGCTATTTCCTGCGCTAATTTCATCTTCTCATAATTATTCCCCCAATTAATAAAAAATAACCTGAAACGATTACAGTAGGTCTGGTGGTGCTATATTAAGATATAATGTCTGTCAAGATAGAGATTTTCTGATGTTCTCAGAATTTTTCAGAACGAAGTTGTTTTTTTTTTTTTTTTTTTGCCTCTCTTAAAATATTATATGAAAAGTACATCTCCCGAGCCTGGTTTCTTTACTATTAATATTGCATGTGCAGTAGTCTAACTTTATTCTAACTCACCCTCTGTTTTTAAAGCTATCCCATCTATCCTTTTAGTCTCTGTCTTCTATATTGTTTCGTAACCTCGAATTAATATTGAAATCATTGCAAAATGTGACTAAAAGGACTAGACTTAGCCGTTTTAAATAGTATTTCATTATTATATTTTTTAAGGAAATCATTTATTATCTCCTTTTTCGTGCATAATTATATAAAAGCTTGTTATAAAAACATTTTTTTCAGTACTTTAAAATATTTATTACAATAGAGTTGCTGAGTAAGATTAAAAACAACAGCACACTACATGAACTCGTAAAATGTGTATATAATAGCGTAGTAAATTGTACTTTATATAAGAAATTTTAATTAATTCTTTAAATATAAAACATCCAATTATGTCAGATTGTTTGGTTTTCACCCATTTGTCAAGTTTTGGGAAAAATAGGTTGGCTAGAGGAGGTCAAAATTTTGCTTGCCCGTTTCGACTCAGACAGACAGAGGAAGAAAGTTAAAGCTTATAAAAAAGAAACATTTTTAAGCCTGTGGTGTCCCCTTGCACAACCAACCATTCTGCATTACAAAAATTTAGTGTACGAGCCGACCCGCTGCGTATCATACGCCGCTATTTAGTTTTTTTTTTTCTACTTTTCAGTAATTTACAATTTGTGAATTCGACAGTACCAATGCTGCCATTGAAAATATTTGCTTAAAAACACTACCCCCCCCCCCCCCCCCCACGTGAAAGCAGCCTCCTCTTAGTTACCTCCTCCAAGTTTAAAATCGTTTCAAACTAAATTATCTGCCCCTAATAGCCGTCACCAAACCCGTCTCTATGATTGTAAAATGTAAACAGAGTGAACACCGCTCACCAGATCATGTGGGGTGGGGGTGGTAGTGATAGTGATAGAGAGGAAGAGAGGGGACTGCAAAGGCGCGCTTGCAGCTTTTTTTCTAACTGATCCCAGAAGATAATTATATATATAGATAGTAGACTAAAAATCAAAGGCTTTTTTTCTATAACACCATATCACCCCTCCCATTCCAGTATAGCAAGGAAATTTTTTCTTCTGTTATATTAAGTGTGCAATATGTGCATTATCCCTAATAATAAACTTCATTAGATAATTAGAGTATAATTGAAGTACAAAAGTAGTTTAAAGTAATTTTCTGGCCATTAAAATTGTCTACTTCCAACATTCTGCATAGCACATACTCTTATGGCATGTGTCAGTTTTTTATTATGACAGTTTCACATGAATATTATGATGTAATATTTTTTGGTATAACTATAGTGTCCTCAGTAACAAATTCTTTCAGTTGTAAATCAATTTTTTTTCTACAAAAATCTAGTTTCCAACTTAGTTTGCTGCTTAAGGTCTCTGTACTCAATGTTTGTGCCATGTCTCTTCCTGAGGCTTCTAGTCCAGTATTGATAATACTTTATTACAGGGATGTTCTTCTAAGAAAAGTGACTTCCTATGATGTATTATACCTAGTTTCATCTTAATCCTTTCTTTTAAACATTTTGTTTTTAACAAAACTAAGTAAACTATAAATAACATAAATATGCAAGAGATGTTGATTTCTGCTGAAATTATAGGTGTTAAAAAACTTGAGGAAATGGATAAATTTCTATAACGATGTTACATTTGGCAAACAATTGTTATAGACTTATATTTAAGTGATGTTTTTTATTAGCAAAATAAACATTCATCTTTACAATAATTTCATGCATTATGGTTTATTTAAAACTTGAAAGTTTTCATACATTTAACCTTAGAAATAATTTTTTAGTTTTACTTGATATGTATCTTCTGTATGTATCTTCTGGTTCAGCTTACTGGGCTCAGACACATTTTCTATGTGCATTTCTTGAAATATGCTGAGAAGGGGTGCAGATGTACCCCGTTATGTCTCATTTTCTTCCATTGCTTTTTTTCCTCATAATTCACACATCCAAAATTTCAGTTTTTTTTAAGTTGCAAATTATAAAACCAATTTGTTATCTAAAAGTGTATGTGTGACTTTTAAAATAATATCAAGTTAAATACATAAAATTTAAATATTAGTATTTAATCAGCAGTCAGTTAAAATTTGTCATTGTCGTTTACAGTGGCAGACAGCTTTAACAAAATAAATTTTTGTATCTTTTTTTTTTTCCCTCATAGTTTTCAATTCATACCATACTATTCACTTGTACTTACTTAAACATTTCATTCTTATTCTTTGGCGTAATGCATTTGCAGAATGATTTCTTATGCAGAAAAGTTCATTTTTGGTATTTTTTCCCGTGGTTATTACAAATGAGGAGAGCAGAACTTGTGATTTTGTGTAACTATTTTTATATTCTCATTTTTTTTACCCTACAGATCAAGAGAAGGGTATACTTTGTAACATATTAACTTTTTTTCAGTCTCACTTTTGGAGAATTTCACCCATGGAAGAATCTGTTGGCAATATTAAACTTAATTTTTTTTTGTCCTTGAAAAATCAAATCTGGCAAAGTGCATGCTGAGCTTTGCTTAATAATTTTTTTAAAAATTAAATTAATTTGGGATTTTTTTAGTTTGCTGAAATTGCTAAAACATTTTTCAAAATAAGATAAATTTTGAATACTTTTTTTTCTTAGAATAATTTAACTCGATGTTGAAATAAGTTTGATGAAACAAGATCTAGTTAATTTTTTATAAGACCATGCTGCTAATTTACCTCAAGGGATTAGAGGTTTTTTTCTATTGGTCACCCATTTTTCTACCCGTTTTTTAGATATCAATATAGTGTCTCAGCCTAAAAACAGAAATGCGCTCAAGCGCTCTGCTGGTGGAAGAACTGTTAATGATACGTAAGTAAATCTGTTTTTTTTTTTTGTTTTGTATTTTTTAAAAATAAGCCAACAGGTTTTTTAGTAAACTTTTCAAATAAAATACATTTTTTATGGTAAGGGTGGGAATTTTTAAATTGAAAATATTTAATAGTTTTTTGTTTTTTTTCCTAGGTATTACTTCTAAGCTTTATTACAATAATAAATTTTCGATTTTTACATTGAATACTTGGATATTTATTTTAAATATTTAATTAAAGTAAAATTTTCATAGTATTAAATGGTAAGTTTTTAAAATTCTATTTGTTGTTGTTGTGAAACTAAAAATAAGTAATAGCCCTATTTTAGATTAATGTCAAACTATATTAGGTTTTAAGCAGTAAATTTATGAATAAGAAAGATATTTGTACTTAAGAAAAAATATAAATTTTTGAATTATCATTTTTATTGCTTTAATTTTGTTTACATATTTCCCTCATTTGCAAAGAATGGTCTCTCTCCTCAAGTAGTATCAATTGCTTTAATATAGTTTAATAAATGGCGTAAGAAATAGTCTCAAGTATTTTTGTGTGAATGTAACTATTAGTTTCATTACATTGTAATAGCTTAGATTTTTCTATGCATACATTTCATTGTGAAATGTAAACCAAAAAAAAGTTAAACATTTTTGTCCTACCTTTAAGTTTTTTTGTCATCAATGCTGATCATTAAGTTTAAGCAACTTATTCAAGTTATTGTACGTAAAAGTAAAATTGCTTTCAAATTTTATTCTGATGGATGTACAGTTGTTTTTTAAACATTGTCAATGTTTTTAATTCTGTTTTTAAAGGCGTAACTTACATACAATATTGTGTTCTTGACTCAGTTCAATTACCAATGTCAAGTATTTTTTTGTATGCAAAATACCATTTTTAATAATGTTATTGTACATTTCTAAGCTGCTTTTATTTCAGACAAAAACTGTACAGTAGTTGTTTCATATGCCTTTATTTACTGTAGATTTATAATTTCTAGTTTAAATAATTTTAGTATGTTACAGCATCATCCATTTGTTAAATGAAGTGTATTCTTTTAAGGATGTCTGAAAGTTGCTTGTGTTGCTATTTATATTCTTTTTTCTAATCTCTAAGCACTTGGAAAAAATACTGGTTTTGGCAGATATTTAAAAGTCATTTACAAAAAATAATTATTCCATTTACTGTATGTATTCTCAGCAGTCCAGCTAAAAAATCGCGCACTGATAATCCAGGAACTAATCAGTCCTTGCAGAGAACACTTGTCACGCTGAGTGGAGCTACTGAATCAAATAAAAGAGTATGTATAACAATTCAGTTATTTAGTTATAACTGTTTGACAAGTAATATTATTGTGCTGTTATATAATGTTGTAGTGATAAGCTTTTATTTTCTCTAAAATATTGTGCATTTGTACATAATATTATAACTTTCCCCAAAAGTAATCAATAGAAAATTAAATATCTAGAGGTATGCATATGGTTTTTAATTTTACTGGTCAAGGGGCTAATCTATCTATATATATAAAAAGCTGTGGGTGTTTGTTTGTCTTTTATGCATTACTACACCTTTCATCCGATCAGCATGAAACGTCTGGAAGTTGTTGAGCATACTCCTTGGGAGGTTTCTGCTGGAAATTTTTTTTCAAATTCGCAGGGGTGGCGCCCCGCTAGTGGTGCCACTTTTCCGGGATATCCTGGATTTCCGGATTTGAGAATCATATTTTTTTCCCTTTCTGGATTTGCAAGATTTGAGTTTGAAAATTTCTGGGTTTGCAGTTTAATAAAAAATTAACATAGTGTTCAGCTTGAAAATTTTGGTAGTGTAGAAATCGTTTTTATCGTCAAGACTCCCACTAATGGCCCTTTCCGCCTTTTACACGTCGATAGTACAATATCCACTGCTGTGTAAACCTAGCATTATTGTAATTATTACGCAGTCTCTTTCGTGGCCTTTGTCTAATCGACATCATGGGGACGTTTCGGTCTCTGCGACCTTAGGTTGTCTTCTAGGTCTATCCTAACTTACCGTGACCTCTCAGTATAGTATAGTGGTGGGTCTAGATCTGTAACTATTAACCTACAAGATTTCCTAATGTCAATAGGCCTATTCATTATGTACGTTAAAAATTAATTAAATACAAATCGGCTGTATCAGACGGGTGAGGCTGTAGATGGAACTTTTCAATGTCATTCGTGGTGTGGCTGTCTGGCTATTTATTGTTATATGGGTTGCGGGTAAAATTTGCATTATTTACGTGACCTCATCAATGGGCTACCGCTAGGATGTGTAATAAAAATATGTCAAACCATAACAAGCTTACTATACTAGCATCGCCAGTCATCTTCTTTTAAGAAAAAGAACTGAAATATTTATTTTTTTTGTCTGGTATTGCTAAAAGAAAAGAAACATATATTTGAACTATTGAAGGACTATTTTATGTATGAAACAGAACTGTGCTGTTTTCACTCAACTTTATGGACACTTTTTACCACCTCTTTCCTGCTTCTTCAAGGTCGCGCAGACCACGCGAGCACAATTGTGTCTCACTGTCTAAGCAGTTCTACAAGCACTGTTTATCTAATTTTAACGTGGTCATTTTTAATAAGGGTCTACTACTAGATTTAAGAAAAAAATCTAGATCTGCATTGTTTTAGGTCATTAAACAAAATATGTATCTATTTTTTAGAAGCTCCTATCAGTAATTGAGATCAAGCATCTAATTATACACCATTAGTAATGCTAACAAATTGCATCAGTCACACTGATGTTTTTAGCACGTCAAATAATTTTTTATACATGTTAAAGAAAAAATCCCGTTGATTTGTGTCACTTTAGCGAATGACGTAATCTGCAACATTGTTCCAGGATGTGTTTGGTGCTCTGGGTTATCCTGTGAGATATATCGCGCGTATGTTAGTTTTAAGTAGCCAGCGGCCATGCATGGCGTCTCTGCGGTTGTGTAATTGGGGGCTTCTGCGTCCCTGACACATGGGCAGTCACCGAAGTGTGTTCTACCTCATTATTTCGCTGAGTGATTAACGTACACTCAAGGCCTCCAAGCGGTAGTGTAGGAAAACCCGTGTCACGATAAAAAATATGATCCAAGCGCAGACACAACTTAGTTTTAGAAAATAATGTCACACGTCAAAGAATATAGGATTGGTAACGTATTGATGAAACCCTTCTTATATATTTGGTCAGACTTTCTTCTATCCCCGCGGCATAGCTTGGGGACGGGTACGCTAGTTTATACATAAATGAAAGCATATGTCTGTGTGTCTTTTATCAGAGATGTGACGTATCCAAATTTTGGCAAATTTACAAGAAACAAATTTGGAAAAGTGTTATCTAATATAGTCAATCTATAAAGGGGAAATGTACATCTACCAAGCTCAATTTCTTTACATTTAATCTCTCATGCATGATAGTCTAGGTATAATTTATCTACCTGTAGTTTTAGTACACCTTCCATTTTGAAACTTAACATTTCCTGCTGCTTACTGTTTAATTTCAACCCCTCAAATTAATTTTTAATGGTTAGACGACCCTCCTTGTAGCAACAGTCTCTGATTTTTAAGCTGATGTGAACTCACTGTGACCCTGAGTAACAAATGCTCAATTGGCCTGCTGATTTCTAAACTAATGCAAACTAACATACTGTGTCGACTTTGAAATCTAAATAGGTATTAATGCAAAATTGTAATGCTTTAGGCATTTTTTTTTTCATCGAAACAAGTTTGAGTTTTAATAAAATAAATAATAAGTATTTTTTTTTTACCTTTTTAGTTTATGCTATAAGAAGTTATAAATTTTAAAAGTGTGTGCTCAAATATCTATATACATGATACATTTTGAAATAAGTTGAGTGATAGGAATTATGACTAGCTTCTATGCATGGGCATTCATCTGAAAATTCAAAACGTCTATTTTTGCTCAGGGAGAAAAAAGAAACTGCAGAGATAAAAAAAAAGGAGGGTGGTTTTGTGTCCAGGAAAAGTCAGAATATGTTCCATATACACATACATCAAGCATTTTAAAAAAAAGATCCCGGTTACTCTAAAATATTGAATAAAGTAGATTCATTTTTAAATACATATGCTTTGATAAATATTTTACAAAAGCATATATTTATATCATGAAAGAGATTGATTGGTAATTTCATCACACTTAGAAAGAATAATGTCACATCTTTCTTGGTCGTATTTCTAGAAATTATCCGAAACAGCAACGTAAACTGTTAACTGTGTCACACTAACTAAAAGTATATTTTGTTGTAGATGGCAGCCAATAATGCAGTTAAGCGTGCTTTGGCTACAGTAACTAAGAAGACAGTAACAAAATCCCCTGCCATTGTCAGACCTACATCATCATCCAGCAAAACTAGTGCAGGAAAACCATCAGACATTGCTAACAAACCTGTTGCTGTTAAAACTACATGTAAGTTTTTTTTAATTTGGGTTTGCTTATTAAACATTAGACTATACATGCAAGCCTAATATTGTCATTCTTCCCTTTTTCATTTTGCAAAATGGATATATATCTTTTTCATAGGTAACTGATGTAACCAAATACGGCTGCATACTTTTACTATTTGTGCTGTAATTTTAAAATTTTGATGCCCCGAGTTATGGTGAATGATTGTGATTATCAATACGGCTTTTTAAAAGCATTGAAAAATGAATTTTAAAAAGACATTACATAATCATTTTTGTGGAGAATAGGGATGCAAGCACAGCTCAATTGTTTCGGACAATTTCTTCATGTTGGGTCCACAGCTTTTTGTGATCTTTTCCAAGTTCATTTTGATCCTCCTACTTTCCTTGGGTATTCCAAGCTAATAACTCTCTGGTAATGTTTGTTGGTTTATGCAAGGTGTGTCCACTACATCCCCATTTCTCCTTTTGTATTCCATTGCCAATGGGGTTTCGCCCAGTTTTTTCTTTGATAGTTTGGTGTTGGTAATTTTCTCCGGCAACCTGATGTTCAAAATGTGCGACTATTACAGTTGTCTTTGGAAAGCATAGCCAGTGCTCTTAACATCCACATTATGCGAGGGTGCTGATGTGGCTTTTGATGGCCTCATCTATTCCCTAATCCTTGCTAACTACACTTCCTAGACATGTGAAGCAATTGGCCTCTAAAAATGTCATTTTTTGCTGCTCAGGTGGAAGCTCCATCTTACCCTAATCAGGCTATGGTGATAGAAGCAAATAGTGGGTTTACTTTGTTTGTATCGGCTTCTACTTCTTTACAACCCAGCAAAAGTTTGTGCTGATCAATTTGTTTATTTTTCAAAATCATTTGACTTTTTGAGAAGTTATTAAACCTTTAATTCACTTTTTGGTGAACATATGAGGGACCAAAGTTTATAAGCTTTTTCCTAAATAAGTATAATATTTAACAACGCATAATAAAACATGATTGTTCTAACAGAAATGTTGGATGTCAATTATTATATCCAGTCTTTTACTAAAAAAAAAAAATTAAATACTCGCAATTTTTTATATTTTTATTTATGCAAATGACAAAGATTTGGCAATATTCTTTAAAATGTATCTAAAAACATTTCTATACATGACAGTTTATTTGACACAACTTTAATGAGCTTGAATCTTAATACATCTTTTTCATTAAATATTTAATAGGGCCAGATGTTCTTATCTGTGGCATTTGTAAACTTCAATTCACAAGTCTCCACAATCTTGCTCAGCACAAGAAAATACCATGCCAGTTACGTGTAAGCACACAAGTTAAAGAAGAGTCATCCCATAACTCAGGTAGTGTAATTGTTGACATTTAGAATCTTAACTTGTTATGTAAGACAGCTTTTTCTTAAACTCTTTACAGCTGAAATGACACTCCCAGCATCCGATTTTTTTTTTGCCATATTGCTTTTAATTGTATATTTGGGCACAATACCACCAGCTTTTTATAAATAGAGCTAATTTTTTTACTTTCTCGTATATACAAAGTATAGAGAAAGTCTTGTAATCATGCAAAAAAAAAATCGAGATTTTTACAAATCTTGACGTTTTACACCTCACTGATATGGAAAAACATAATTTTACAATCTTGTCCATATGTGTGTGTCTGTGTGTGTAAACACAATAACTTGAGTACCGTTACAGCTAGGCTTTTGAAATTTCATATATAAGTATTTTATCAAAATCGTAGATCCTGATCAACTTTTGAGCGATTTCCGATAACCGGAAGTGGTACTTTTTCTACTTTGAATTTTTCAAAAGCCTATAACTTGAGTACTATTTCAGATAGATAAATGAAATTTCACATGTAAGTAAAAGATCTAATTCTCTACCTTCTGTCAAATTTTGAGTAATTTCTGTTGACCGGAAGTACTAATTTACGCTTTTTCCGATTTCTCAAAAAACGCATATAAATTTATAAACTAATAATATTGCACACTATTATGAACATCTTTATTTGGCGTTCACTTGGTGCGCAATAGTTTTTTCTATGAGATTCTATTCTATTTTTAAACGTTTAAGTAATTAAATGCCATGTCTATATTCCGAGTTACCATCCCACGTAGTGTTATATAAGAATATTCGAGAAAGTTTAGGGGAGATCACTCCCGGTTTATTTTGCTAGCAATAATTTTGTGGGATTAGTTTTTGCTATCATGTCAAAGTAATTTAAATATGCAAATTGCAACGTTATTTGAATGCTTATTTTAATATTTTTAATAATGGCCTGTAATTATTACAAAAGCCAGGATTTCAATTGATTTCCATTGATTTTTACTTTTTTCTTCAAATAAAAGTTGTAGGATTTTACTTCAAAAGAGGTATTTTAATATCATTTTGGTAAAAAAAAAATTAAATGGTGTTAAATGAACATGTTTAGTTATAGATATTTTTATTCTCCTTAAATGATCAAAATGATCAGCTGACAGGGAATAATTGGAATATGCATTTTTATAACAAGAATATTGAGTATAAGTTAGAAGATATTGTTGATGTAAGTTTACTTTTGGATTTTAATTCATTAGTTTTCAGTAAAATCTAACATCAAAATTTGCCGGGGTCTGTTTCTCCGACACTGTGTCCAGTGCTAATACTAATAAAAATAGAGTCCTTACTTATCTAATGTTTATTGTTAGTTATGTAAATTGATACAGGTTTTGGAACATATGAGAAATAAATGAATTTTTCATTAAAGCTTTAGCCAAAAGAAAGTAGAGCTTTGTAAAGCTGTAAAATTTTGATTTCAGTGCCAAAAAATGTAAGCTGGAGCTTTAAAAATAAATGCATTGAAATGAGGAATGAATACCGAAATAAATGTTCTTTTGGGGATTATTAATCAGAAATTAGATACAAATAAGATAAGCTTAAATTCAGAAGTATTTGGATCTAGATGAAGGCTAGATATTAGGTATATTAGCTATTGTACTGAATTGTAAATCCTCACTAATTACAGAAAAAACTATACCACAAACACAAGATTTCGCTCAACTTATATTGATACTAAATTTGTGTGTCTAGCTTCAATTGGAGCTAAGACTTGGCGGTATAAAAATTTGTAGGCAGTTGAGACATGTGCCGTTCATGCCAAAGTTATGCTAGCAAAAAATTTGAGTAGTGTCTAAGTTGGATAACTGCGTAATTACAGAATTATACCACAATATATATGACAAATCAAACCTAGAGAGAGAAAAAAGTTATCAACGCCTTTTTAAAAAGACTTTTGGGTGTTATATAATTGTATTATAAAGGGTTGACCAGAAATACAGTAGACTAAGAAAAATAATAATTTTCTTTGACATCTTTTAAAGTTTGAGGGAAAACCAGTTAACTTTGAATTGATTGGTTTCGATTGTTAAGATTGTTGATTTAAATATTAAGATTTCTAAGGCCATAAAACAGGTCATGTAGACTTGAAGAGCTCAAATTGATAATTTAGCAGGCTATCTCTTATGATTAGCTCAATTAAGGATAGGCACCACGAACAGAATTTTTTTTTTATTTAACACATTTCTGGGTGTTTAATAAGTTCATATGTTTATAGTTGTTAAACTATAGACAAAAATAATATATAGACGTCAATAGCTGTACTGGTTGCCTTGAAAACTGGGAAAAGGTGTGGAAACTAACACCTTTTTTACGTAAATTAGGGGGTGGTGCTACATAAATATCAATACTTCCTAAAGTATTGTAGTAAACTTAATGTACAAAAGTAGTTTTGTAGATGGTATAATGCTGAATGCACGTGGAATGTTTTAGTCTTGTATGACAAAGGGTTCCAAAGCCTTAGCAATTTGAATGTTGAATTTTGAGTAAAAATGCAAAGTTTAGAAAATGTGAAAAGAAGAGCGGAAGAAGGTACAATGCATTTTCTCTTATAGAAAACAGAAAAAAAACGTCTGTGTGGAAGAACAATTTGACTAATAAAATACACTTTGATTTATGTTGTAAGTTTTAGACAGATTTTTCTATGTAAGCAGAAAATATTATACAACAGGTAATGAATTTATGACTATTAAGTATTACACACCCTATCAATCTAGCGGTAACCCTAACCCTATAGCCTAAAATTAGGAATAAGCTAATATAAAGTGAATTATGCAAATTTTTCACACGCTGAAAACGCACACAAAAAATTACATTTTTAGATCTAATTAACATTCTAAATCTAGTAATTATACAGTTAAAATTGTGCAAATATTTAATAATTATTGAATTATTAATAAGTTACTACAAAATGGCACAAAAATCAATCTTTGATAACATGATTGGTAGGATTAAGATGACATTTTAAAGATAGAATAGAGAGCTAACATTATGCATTTTAAAATTAGAACAGGCACATCTAGGCGTATATGAATGTAAAGGGTTAAATTCTAAATCCAGTTGTCCTGGTGGTATACTAAAAATTCTGTAAGAATTGTGTAGACATTATCTTTTTCTTCTTTAACATGTAACAGCTACTGGAGAACCAGCCATTCTTATGTGTGCTACTTGTGACACCCAGTTCAATACTGCTTGGGCCCTCTGTTTGCATTGTACAGAAGAACACAAAATTAGCATATACAAAAAAGAAGTAAGAACATTTGTTTCTAGTAGCAGTTAGTTGTTTTTCTTTTTTTTTTTTTTAATGAATGCCTAGAATTTACTATACATATGCTCATACAGCTGTTTCATGTTTCTTTTTTACTTTCTCGTATAGAGAAAGTCTTGTAATCGTGCAAAAAAAAAAAATCGAGATTTTTACAAATCTCGACGTTTTACACCTCACTGATACGGAAAAACATAATTTTGCAATCTTGTCCGTATGTCTGTGTCTGTCTGTCTGTCTGTCTGTCTGTCTGTCTGTCTGTCTGTCTGTCTGTGTGTAAACACGATAACTTGAGTACCGTTACAGCTAGGTTGATGAAATTTCATATATAAGTATTTTATCAAAATCATAGATCCTGATCAACTTTTGAGCGATTTCCGATAACCGGAAGTGGTACTTTTTCTACTTTGAATTTTTCAAAAGCCTATAACTTGAGTACTTTTTCAGGTAGATAAATGAAATTTCACATGTAAGTAAAAGATCTAATTCTCTGCCTTCCGTCAAATTTTGAGTAATTTCCGTTGACCGGAAGTACTAATTTACGCTATTTTCGATTTCTCAAAAAACGCATGTAAATTTATAAAGTACTAATAATATTGCGCACTATTATGCACATTTTGTTTTGGCGTTCGCTTGGTGCGCAATTCATTTTTCTACGAAATTCTATTCTATTTTTAAAAATAATTTAAAACCATGTCTATATTCCGAGTTAAAGAAGAATATTCGAGAAAGTTTAGGGGAGATCACTCCCGGTTTATTTTTTCTTTGTTTACCAGCATCAAAACCATGCTTAGGCATCACTCATTTAACAGTCCACAAACAATAGAAATTTTTAAATTGTAAATATATACGAGTGCTTTATTTAATTTTGTTTTTTCCATATCAACAAAAACCAATGTTTTGACAATTTTTTTTTAAATCGAAAAAAAACATAAAATTTTTCTGTAGTCCTGCATAGAATTATATTACGTTCTAACGCCACTTTGGGTTCATGACCCCATTTCTTTTTCTTCATAGTTTGCTTACTACAGAGGTACTATTTTTTTAACTTTGTTTTTTTTTTATATAAAAAAACACAAGTACATATTGCATGCCTGTTGAGTAAGATGTCGCCTAAGATTTTAAAATTCATTATTGTTCACCATGACTTAAAAATTAAAAACTACATTTATTTACCTTTAATTTGATACCAATTTTAATTATCAAATTAGAAAACGATTTGTGAAATAAGGTGTTTGTTTTTAAATGGCTATGATGATATGACTGATACAGTGGGTTAGTTTTTAAGGAGTGTTGTTGTGACATGATTGACGGTTCACTGACGTTTAGCAGAAATGTGTAGTCTGCTAGATTTCTTCCCATTCAAATACACGGTGGGCAAAACAAGCAGTCTTAGTTAGCTGTTGTCTCGATCAAGTTATTTTTTTTTGGATGTTTTATTTTTATCCTTCTTGATTTTTTAAAAATTAATGAAATAATTTTAGTAGGACGCAATATATAATTTTCTATTGTTTAGACTATTTTTGAGTGTTTACAACATTAAATAAAGCAATGCAAGTTTTGCTTACTTTTATTAAGTTCTGCTCAATATTCTCAGCGATTAATACAAAAAAAGGTACAGAAGGCAAGTTTGCATCAAACACTAATCGTCCATTGTTAAATTTTGATCAGTATTGTTGAATAATAAGCAAAATTCAAGATTTTAAGTATATATTTCTGAAATAACCATGAAACATTGTTATAAAATGGAATCACAGTATTGGTGTTTTTGTCAGCCATCATTACCATGTCGGCTGTAAAAAAAAAATTAGGTTAAGATTCAGTCTACTGTTGAATGATACATTTATGTGAATTTTCCGAAGTTTAGCAGAAATCTAATTTTTCCGTTTCTGCTGCAATTTTCCTCTACCAATTTCTCCTCATTTTTCCGCCTATTTTCTATTTTGGCCAACTTTTAAAAATTAGAAAAAAAAACAGAAATGACATTTACCGAAACAGCCCAAACACGGATTCCACATTTTTAATAGGATGGTTGCGTTGGGGCTCACTGTGCTAGAATAAAATTACATTTCTAAGGATTTCCTGAATGCACATTTCTTAATCCCTATTTTCTGCTATTTTCAGTTAAATATTTATCAAATATACAGAAAAAAGTAATGTAAAATGTTGCCTTTTTAAAAAATAAGAACATCTCCCCAGCCTGGTTTCTTTACCATTTATCTTGCATATGTGTTAGTCTAACTATAACCAAATTTATGTACTGGTATTTTAACTCACCCTCTGTTTTTAAAGCTCCTAAAATCTACAGTTTTTCTTGCTTCTGTTTTATTTCACTACATCAAATTAATATTGAAAGTATTGCAAAGGGTAAATATGATAACTAGACTAACCCGCCCCTCCTTGTAATAACGGTGACTCTTGCGACTTCACCATAACCCCAAGTACGTGTTTGGTACTGCTTGTTTGGGGAAAGATAAAAAGGATGTCACAGCCTTTCTCAAATAGCCATGTTACTCCTATGACAAATGCACTATAGGCCTCTTGACTTAAAAACTAATGTGAACTCACCGTTGATGAAAACAAACAGAAGTATAAATAACCATGTGGCTTAACTATCAAGATGGTTCAAAACTTGGTTCATATGTTTTTACAAGTATTAATTTTCTAATTGCAGCTAATATGGTCTTCATTTTTCATGAACTAAACTTTCAAAATACAATTGATCTTAATCTAGGGTTTTTACAGTCAAAGACTTGTATTTTCACCATGCTCATCTTTAAAAACATACAACTTTTATTATAGGGAATAATTGAAAACAAGAATACAACACATTGCAGTTAAAATTAAAGTTACATTGTAATATTTAATTTTTTAAAAGTTGTTTATAAGGTAAACATTAAATTGCAATCACATAAGACATACATTGTTATTTTAGAGTAACATAAGCCTCTATTGTTTCAAATATTAGCTTTATTAAACAATGAATTAGTACAATAATGGCGTGAAACTGCTTAAATTTTAATAAAGCATTGAGTTTTGTCCATGATCTGTTTATATTCCTTTTGATAGTTTGCCTATAGATCCAAGTATTTTGATGTTAAATTTAATAAATGGTTTCCCATCTTCCCCACTCAGTCCACACATGGGGATTTGAGCAATAGATGTCACCTTATATTTCTAATTGATGCCTGTTTAATGACTGCTTCAATGCTAGGAAATCATCAGTAAATGACTGCATAGAATATAAATTTAAAAAAATTCTGTTTAAAATGAATTTTTAACTTCTTTTTCTGTTTAAAATGAATTTTTAACTTTTTTCTGTTTAAAATGAATTTTTAACTTTTTTCTAATATGTTTATCTTTTTTTCTCTTGTAGGAAGATACAAACCCTAAGCAAAAGGATATTGAAGAAGAAGTGAGCTTTTATACCTAATATTTATGTTGATTACCAATTATTTTAATTTCAACTAAACCCTGTTTTATTTCTAACGTGGTCTGCAGAAACGGCTAATTGCTCTTCTACCTACTTTCTTCCTTCAAAAAAAATTTAATTCATACACACATTTTAGTTTTCTACCCTAATTGTAGGACATTAAGTGACCAAACATTCCCCACTAAACTACACCTACAAATCAATGATTTAAAAAAAACAATTTGAACTCGCAACAATTAATTTCCTGTCAATATTATACTAACCCCGGAGATAAGCCGGTTATGTAATCAAAGGACACTTTTTTTTAAATAGCATCATTAGATTCGACATTGAAAAATCGATTATGTAGCATAAATTGAGCCAGTTGATGAAGTCTATTTGCGTTATACCACTTTATTGAAGAACTTTTAAAAGTTTGGTCCATTCCGTCCTAATATTTTTCCTCATACAGTATAAAGACCAACTCTATTGCATCATGTCATAAGTTAAGCTTCAAATATTTTCTTCATTAACATCTCACTTGAAGCTCCCACAGAAAATGAAGCTCCAGCAATTTAAGCTGTTGTAAAATACTGTGTTCATCAACCTCTTGCCTTACATCAGAATCTTTAATTGTCATAAATCTTAACCCCTAGCCCTTAGGGTGGTAGCATATATGTTTTCCATAGCCTTTGTCCAACTAAGAATAATTGGCTATTTGGTTTGGGCACCAAATTATACTCTCTAACACCTGAAAACGATATTTCTTTGTGAAACATTGAAAAGTTTCACAGATTCAGTTTTGCCTCTGCTTTTCATAAACGTCACTAACAAGGCTTTAAAGTTTTGTTTTCCTTACTATATTAAGTACTAAGTTTAGTAAAGTTTAACTTGTCTCAGTGAGTGGCAAAACTTGGCAGATGTATTGGTTTGAATTTGAACTAAATTCCTTAGTCCTCCCTTAAGCTATCTTACCCCTGCGTTTCATTCACCTGTTGCAGCTACAGTACTGTTTGAAAATGCAGGTCAAAGCTCCATGAAAGAGTACAAATTACTTCATTTTCCTGACAAACTTGACTATTATGTCGGCATCCCATTAGCCTGTTGTATCACATTAGAGCTCTCCTAGATTCAGTAACATGAATGGGATTTCCCCTGACCACCCAGCCCTGACCACCTTTAAACTGTGTCACCTTGTTACCCACCCCACAATGTCAAAAGGAAGGTATTTACTAAGAAATGTATGAGGGGTGGTCCATCACTGTACTCACATATACCCGTGTATATAAATGTATATTAATATGTATACATTCACATATTCATATATATGTATAATATTGAAAGGATGCAATTGTATGGCTATACTTATGCTGTAATTTGAATTAACAACATCCTGTTAATATTCCACAGGTTCAAGTAGATACAGAAGGCAGCAAGACTAAAGAATCAGCAAAGTAAAGCTTATTGTGGACTTGCACCAACTAAATGACTATCTTATATATTATATACATTTTAAAGGCTTAGACTGGTGGTTTGGGCAGGGGGGGGGGGGGGTTGATATATGTTTAATGTTTTTAAACTTAGTTGAATAAAACCTACATTTATGTCTTTTAAAATGTGTTCAAAACTGTGTGTTGGTTTATTTGTTACTATTCCATTAATTTAAGAGATATGTCAAACCAATGTTTAAGAACCTATCCCAGAGCTTTTATGAAAAATGCTAAATGTCAAGAACTAAGATTGTGGTTATCAAATTAATTTATCATAGTACTTACAGTTTTTACTAGGAAAAAAATCACAAAGGAAAAACTTATCTGATTATTTGATAATCACAATAAGAAAAAGTATTTATTTAAATACCTGGTAGAAAGATTAGTTGTAAAATAAATGTAAGCACATCTTTGTTTTTGCCCTAGTCCAGGGGTCTGCAACTTTTTGATAAGCAAGAGCCAAAAGCTACAAATTACACTTTCCCAGTTTTTAAAGAGCCACAACATTTTTAGATCAATATTATCTCAATCCACTTTAGAAGTAGAAGCTGTTAATTTTTAATTTATTTTTTCTTTAAGGATATCACTGGTTCAAAGGGTGTCTCCCATTAGCCAATCAGGCCTCAACATGGCAAACGCCTTCTAACTCAAACTAGCTTGGATCAGAGGCGTAGCGACCCTTCCCGGGGACAAACTTTTCTGTTTGCACCCCCCCCCCCCCCTTTCAAACTTTCGATTTGCACCCCCCTCAACCTTTCAATTTATTTTACCAATCCATTTTGGCGCCCCCTAAGGTCGGCGCCCGGGGACTTATGTTGTGTCCCCCCCCCCCCCCCCCGCATTACGCTACTGGCTTGGATATCGGTTTGAATAGCTTGCATCGTTCGCTTCTATCCTTTGGATCTCACCAGGCTTATCTTCCATCCCACTGAACGCAGGGTAAAGTCGTACCCCACCGTCCAGTAAAAATGAAATTATATAACTATTAATATTTGTGCAAGGAGCTGAAGGTTGCCGACCCCTGCCCTAGGCCTTTCCTCTGTTGGCCTAGTCCGTCCACATTGTGTATTGTTCTTCAAATCCAGCCTTTGTACGGTGTCGGCTTTTTTCTCTTGGTCCTATGTTTTTTTTATGTAATGTGAGCAGTACAGATGGCTGAACTAGAGATGAGGTCAACAAATCATATTAAATATGTCATCTTCCCCTTCACACTGATTCAAAGTCTGTAGTTTAAAATAGCTTTGAACATTACACTATACCAGGGGTCGGCAACCTGCGGCTCTCCAGTTCAATGCACAAATGCGCTGCTTGGGCACCAACCAGGCACACCCCACGGCCGTGCTGCGGACAGCCCCGTGACAACAATTCAGTGCTTGCCACAGCCCAATTGTCGACTTTTTGGAATATCGTTCAATAGGGAACGTTGATTTATTCAGAATTCATTCCTCTACATGGCAGTATGCATTAATTTGACCTGAGTGACGTAGTATTTTAGTTATTAGTGTAACGGACACCAATCTATCAGCCAGATAGATGGCGAACGCTCCCGGATTCGTTTAACTGATTACACACAGATGGCGACAAGCCTAAATAAAAGAAAATTGACACACTAGCTCGCTAGGACTCGTAATTGATGTCTAGGGGAAACACTAGAGAAACTAATGATGCCAACAAAACCTTTAATCTGCATATAACTTGTAATGAGTGTACAAAGTCGTGGCAGAACACTAGATTTATACAAGAATAAAATGGATATACAGAATGATCAAAACCCAACTTACAATTCGTGGGAATAAATAGTATGATACACTATCACAGCTTTTAACACTTCAGAAAAATCACCACTGTATACATAACACTGCTATAAGCATAAAGAATTACTTAATCACAAGTAATATAACAACTTAATACTGCACGGCAACACACAGGGCTTATCTCTCTTCAACAACGTCTGACCAAAGACTGCCGCGAGACACCTGTGGGCGATCTATTTATAGACTTAGGTAACATGGAAGGTTACCTTCAAATCATAAGACCATTGGTTGGGGTGGTCATCTGGTCTGAAACAATCAATCATCTCTCGATGGAAAATTTCTGAGTCTAAGACTCTCTTAGTAAGACAGCGGAAAAAAAAACGGTTATTGCACCACAGACCATATATGGTATTATAACAAATGTCAAACTAAAAATAAAACATTACTAGACCTAAGTAGGTCACATTAGCTTCCCACGTTTGAGCCATGTACTGGACTGTAGGGTACGAGTTTACCGTACCCTGCGTTCAGTGAGAACCAAAGGACAAAAGCGACCGTTCAGTAATCAAATCGATACCCAGTTAGTCGCAGTTTGTCGTGTTGAGGGCTGCCTGGCTATGGGAAACACCTACGGCAGGGGTCGGCAACCTTTTGAAGCGGAAGAGCCTAAAGTTACAATTTTCAAAATTTCCCTGGTTTTAAAGAGCCACTAACATTTTTTTTTATTTCAAATATTTAATTTTTTTATTAAGATTATTAGTATTTGTTCAAGGAGCTGGAGAGCCGCATCTTGATATCAAAAGAGCCGCATGCGGCTCGCGAGCCACAGGTTGCCGACCCCTGACCTACGGGGTCGTCCATAAATGACGTCACGTTTTTTGGCCATTTTTTTACCCCCTCCCCCCCCCCCTACGTCACACATCGTCACAAAAAGTCAGACCCCCCCCCCCTACAATGACGTCACACTCCACCCCATCCCCCTAATTTAAATTTTATCCTATGTTTTAAATTTGCTGTGTTTTCATCCCTTTAAAATTACCGCTCGTTGACACAACATTAATAATGAGCGTGCAGGACCCATTCGTGGCACCAGCAGGTAAACAATAATACAGTGAGGTAATGTTAAAGCTGAAAGGATTAATTTTAAAAAAAATACTTAATGTAAATGTAGGTATTTCTTGCAGACATGACGACATGTGAGAATAACAATATATTGAGTATAATATGCAAATTATTTAAATGTTAGCACTATGCCCAGACCTTTAATTCTCCTAGTATATTTCATTGTAGCCTATATGATGGTCTTAACGGATGTCATCTCTCACAAAGCAATACAAATGTAATTGATTTTTAATAGTAAAGACTCTCCACTAGATTATTAAATTGCGTGTTTTGCTGTTAGCGAAGAGGATGTTGAAATAGGACAAGAAATACTTTCACACTAACTTAAATCTAAGCAAGTTTTATAGAAATTTTTATTAATAACGATTAAATAATAATATTAGTAACAAGTTATACTTAACCGACCATATCTATATACATTCATATTTCTAAATCTTAGCAAGATCATTAACAGAAGTATTGAAAAAAAACTACTTACAACAGTATTAATATGGCAATCCTCAATTAAAAGTTGTGATATTTAAGCTAATTCATTCTCCCATGGAGAATTAAAATGTTCCTTCATTGAATACACAGGGACGGAATTGATTTTTTCCCCCGTATGGAATGGGAATTCCCTTTACATCAAGATCTTCCTCTTCTATCCAATCTACACTCTGACCATTAATTTCATTGGCAATTATAACCATCAGTTCACGTGCAGCAACTCTCAGAGGCCTGATGCGCTGTAATGGCACAATTGATGATTCCTGTTTGTGAGTCAAGGAATGATTGCGCAGCATAACCAATGAAGAGAAGTATGAATGACACTTCTTACAAACCCTGTCGCTGATCACGGATTGAACAGACGGACAATACAAATCATAAGTGATTGTGCGATAAGGATTTGAAGAGCGGGGAAGGATTTCATCCACTTTTATACTTTGAGCAACAAAAAAGATATGGAAATTTATGTGAAGAGCCATCTGTTGAACGCTCAGGTATTGTTAGTCCACAGCTTGTTTGGGCGACAGGTAAAGGTGGAGGAAGAAATCTATCAGTCATTAAGCTGAAATACGAGCTTCTTGGCTTTGAGCAACATTTACCATCCGTGCATTTAACGATCTGAGTCAAATACTGGCTAGTTCTCACATGAATATCGTGCCAACGGTGATCCTTTGAGAGCAGAGAAGTTTTAAGGAGTTCAGAATCTTCTGGATCTATATATGCTGCCACTGTAGGAAATGTATCCACTGTCAAGTGTGACCATATTTCTGCCAAAGTGTTTTCGGCAAACTGAAAATTCTTCTTCTCTAAATCTGTGTCTATTGTGACTCCTCTTTCATCCAAATGACTGCCGTAGTGGTCATGGGGTAAAACTAATCCTGTGAGCTCATTGCTAAGTGACGCCATTTTTCTTTCAACCCTATTAAATGCACTTCTTCCTGGTGCATTGGTATCAATGAACAAACCATCATAGTTCTGATTGAGAAAGTGGTGTACCGCAACTTTGATCACCTTTTGATACCTAGGATTTTCGTCTGGGCCACCGTCAACCGTCAACATTAATATTGGTTTAACAATTTTATCCACACCACTATTTGTGATATCATCTAATTCATGTAAAGTAAGTAATTTTTCAAAATAAAGTCCATGACTAAGCGCTGTGGATGAGGAATGTTTACCAGATCTGATTGATATGTATGTTGGGCCGGAGTATCCAACAGCTTCTCAATTTCCCAAGGCGTTGGCTGAATTTTTATCCCGCCATAAACTGAAGGGATCAGCTTATGCCCAGCAGAAAAAAAACGCAGAATTTTTTTTGGGCCCCTATATATATACATATATATATATATATATATATATATATATATATATATATATATATATATATATATATATATATATATATATATATATATATATATATATATATATATATATATATATATATATATATATATATATTTATATATATAAATATGGAAAACAAGGGTCGCTCTAAATTTAAAAAAACAAATTTCCATCTGGTACACGAATAAATCAGAGGTTTTCCAACACACGAGCTGGCCCATTTCAGTTTTCCAAGTGAGAATCACGGACTCTCTAAATCTAGTCCAACACACCAAACTGAGGCTTTCATCAAAACGTTACCAACCGTGTGCCCTGTTTTCCAGAAGTTGAATTAAATGTTAACAATGTCGGCAGTTCATTTCT